CCACACCCTTTTTGCCTTTTCATGGAGTTCTTGTTATGCAGTTTGTCATTATCATGGTGGTTACTGATGAAACTGCCCATAATTTTGATGAGTCATGATCTGTCTGCGTTCATTCCAGGTTGTTTGGGAAGAAGATGTATAAAGAAAGCTGACAAATGATATGCAGCTGGAGGAGCTGGGTAAAGGGCAATAAAAGGGCACTGATGAAAGCCAATATCCAGGGACTGGTATAAACTAGAATGGACTGGCCAAGAGTCTGATAGCTAATTTCACAAGACTTTTGTTCTGGCTGAGATTTTATTGCCTTGAGTAATCAATCAACACCTTCTAAATAAATAACATTTGACCATTCCCTTGGGCCAGAATGTAATAAAGGTTTCCATAGCTAAAAATACTGGTAGGCTGCGTGCAATGGATGCTATAGATGGGAAAATATTCCTCAGCTTTGAAAATAATGTAGTATATGCTTATAGCTGCACTCTGAAGAACTCAGGGCTACAAGTGTGTCTTTTTCTGAGGAGGGAGAAGACTATGAAGTAAACATGAGTAACTGCGGCATCTTAAAAATTCACAAGAGACCATGCTTATAACTAGGAAAAAACCTAAGTGCAACCATTAATAATAATTTTACATATTTTATTAATAATATTATTTGAATAATTTGAGTGTTTTAAATTTACATTTTTTATTTTTTTCCAACTGTTGTACGGAAATGGGCTGCACGTAAAATTCTCCTGTAAGGTACAGCTCTACTGTGAGCATTATGTGGATCTAAATGCAAATTAGCCCATCATAAAAGTTTTGAAACTTTTATCATGTTAAAACACTTTTTGGTGAGCCGTATTCTCACCTGCCCTGGATCGGTTCTCAAGGGCTTCTTTGTGATCTGTGTTAGGATGAAGTCCTGATTCAGATACGAGAAATGACCTAGGCATGTGCACACACAGCCTTTTGAAGGGCTAGCCACTAGTTTAAGACTAAAGTTCTCTGTCTGAAAGAAAAGTTCAACAGTTAAGCATGTAGGGACACTCCGTATGATAGATGGCGATGAAACAGAATATCTTTATTTTTGTCTGTAATTCTAGACAGGGCATGTCCTTAAATAACCTTAAGTAACAGTTCAAATTAGGTAAACTGCTTGTGTTAGAAGACCCAAGATTTGAACTCAATATTTCTGTTGGCAGTGTGTTTTCAGAGGTGAAGCTGCTGCACTTGGTTCACCAGAGCCAGATTTTGTTTTTCAGGATATGATAAAACAGTGGCTTTCAACTTTTCCATAGTACTGTACCCCTTTCAGGAGTCTGATTTCAGCTCTGGGCAGGGCTTAGACTTCGGCTTGAGCTCCAGGCAATATGGCTTGGGCTTCAGCATGTATCTTAGCTTCACGGGGGCCCCTGCTTGCCACCTTCTAATGCCAGCCCTGCACTTGCGACCCCCCCAAACCCTTCCCGTGACATCCCCCCCAGGAGTCGCCACCCCCAGATCGAGAAACACTGATATAGAGTAGTGAGCAGTATAAACAAGTCATTGGCTGTATGAAATTTTAGTTTGTACTGACTTCACTGGTGCTTTTTATGTAGAGTGTTGTAAAATTAGGCAAATATCTAGATGAGCTGACGTACCCCTGGAAGACCTCTGCGTACCCCGAGGAGTACATGTACCCCTGGTTGAGAACCACTGTGGAAGAAGCTCAACTGATCTGTTTAGTATTTGTCAGAGGTGTGTGTAGATGTGATGGGAGTCGTGTCTAAAGGAGAGCTAGTTGGTGATAGTATTTGTAACTGCTGCTCTCCACTGTGGTTGTTGGAAATTGATTTGGAATGATTGTTGCTTTAAAGGTTGTTGTGTGTCCAGCTTGGGCAATGGGCATATAGTGTATTAATATTGATCTACATATGTAACTTACATTTTTACAGTTTATGGAGTTCTTTTAATGGATTAACAGTTAATCAACCTGTTCAATGCTCTGAGTAAAATGTAACCATTTAACGATTTGTGTCTGCCTCTGCTTGATTGCTCTAAAGGCAACTGCTTTCTAGCGAAATTCTGAAAATGCTTTGAAGTTAGGTGTGTTTGTTTTCTGCAACGTGTGCCCTAAGAGAGATGGCACTTACATACAGGAAATTAAATGAATATATGATCATTCCCAATCTGAAGTCTTTTGTAAATGCTGCATGGAAGGCTTAATCTTCTAGTAATGTTAGGCATGTCTTGTAAGTAGTGCTAATTCACTGTTGTAAACAACAGGTTGTAAATGTGCAGCTCAGCAGCAATAAAATATGTCAAAGTATATTTTTGGTCAATGAATATGATTCATAGATTCTAAAGCCAGAAGGGAGCATTGTGATCATCTGGTCGGACCTCCTGTAGAACACAAGAGTGTAGAACTTCCCCAAAATAATTCCTAAAGCAGGTCTTTTAGAAAAACATCCAGTCTTGATTTAAAAATTGCCAGTGTGATGGAGAGTTGACCGTGACCCTTGATAAATTGTTAATTACTCTCACTGTTAAAAATTTACACCTTATTTCCAGTCCGAATGTGTCTAGTCCAACTCCCAGGCTTTGGATCATGTACGTTTTTCTGCTAGATTGAAGAGCCCATTATTAAATATTTATTCCCCACGTAGGTACTTAAAGACTGTAATCAAGTCATCCCTTAGCCTTCTCTTTGTTTGGCTAAATAGACTGAGCTCCTTGAGTCTCACTATAAGGCAGGTTTTCTAATCCTTTCATCATTCTCATGGGTCTTCTCTGACCCCTCTCCAATTTATCAACATCCTCTTGAATTGTGGGCATCAGAACTGGACACAGTAGTCTAGGAGCGGTCACACCAGTGCCAAATTCACAGGTAAAATAATCTTTCTACTCATATTTGAGATTCCCGTTTATGCATCGTAGGATAGCATTAGCCACAGTGTCACACTGGAGCTCATGTTTAACTGATTATCCACCACAACATCCAAATCTTTTTCAGAGTCACCGCTTCCCAAGATAGGCGCCCCCATCCTGTAAGGATGGCCTATGGTCTTTGTTCCTAGATGTATACATTTATATTTAGCCATATTAAAACACATTGTTCGCTTGTGTCCAGTTTACCAAGCAACCCAGATTTCTCTGAATCAGGGACCTGTCCTCTTCATTATTTACCACTCCCCCAATTTTTGTGTCATCTGCAAACGTTATCAGTGATTATTTTATGTGTTCTTCGAGGTCATTGATAAATATGTTAAATAGCATAGGGTCAAGAACCAATCCCTATGGGACCCCACTGGATGACAATTCTCCATTTAGGGTTAAATTTTGAGACTTGTCAGTTAGCCAGTTTTTAATCCATTTAATGTGTGCCATGTTAATTTGCACCTTCTATAGCTGAAATCATGAAGTCACACTTGTCTGTGGTGTGTTTGTGCACATATATCAGTGATTCTCAAACTTTTGTACTGGTGACCCCTTTCACACAGCATGCCTCTGAGTGCGACCCCCCCTTATAAATTAAACACACTTTTTAATATATTTAACACCATTATAAATGTTGGAGGCAAAGCGGGGTTTGGGGTGGAGGCTGACAGCTTGCGACCCCCCACATAATAACCGTATGACCCCCTGAGGGGTCCCAACCCCCAGTTTGAGAACCCCTGACATATATAATATAGATCGGTATGTTTGTGTACTACTATACAGCTATTCTGCCTGCATGTGCCAAATAATCTTTCAACTACATAGTCAGAGCCGTGGATAGAAGAAATCAGGAGGGACAATAGTTAGAAACTCTGATTTTTCTTTACTCCTTTTAACACATCTATTTAAAATTATTTTGCCAAACTGTTGTAAGGTTACTGGACATTTTGGAGCCTCCTCCCTACAGCCCCTTCCTCTCCCATGAGCCCGGATATCTCTTTAGCAGCACTTTATGGACCACCAGCCACTTTAAAATCTCACTTTCTGTTGCACGCCGAAGTGAAAGATTGTTAAATTCAGTGGTGCACCAGGTTTCCGTGTCTCAGTTTGTCTGTTCTTTCAGCTCTCAGGTTTGAAACACCTAAATTCCCTAGCACCACAGCTTTAATTCCCATCAGCAGTTCAGCCCTTCAGCCTTCTGAAGTAGAGACACTGAATTTCATGCAGTTTAGTTATGTGACGGTGTTTCTGGTGTGATTTTAAAACCTAAGGTCAAGTCCATGCTGCATGTTACATCCATGTGGTGCCTAATACAATAGTTTGATCATTCACCAGGGCCCAGAGGCATTACTGCAATACAAATACACCTCTACCCTGATATAACACGACCCGATATAACACGAATTCGGATATAACGCGGTAAAGCAGCGCTCCAGGGGGCAGGGCTGCGCGCTCCGGCGGATCAAAGCAAGTTCGATATAACGCGGTTTCACCTATAACGCGGTAAGATTTTTTGGCTCCCGAGGACAGCGTTATATCAGGGTAGAGGTGTAACAAATAATAAAATGAAAGCTCTGCTGGCACTTTTGAAAGATTATGATTTTGCCCCAGTGTCTGTGTACTATTGTATAAATGTAAATGTCACTTACGCTGTCTACTAGCAAAGATTTCGCAAACAATAGGTAAATAAATAGTGTGTGTGTGTGTGTGTGTGTGTAAAGACAATTCAACAATAACAATAATACCGAACAATTTTCAGATGTATCCTTTCATATATTACATAGACACTAAAATATAGAATAATTTTCATGCAGCTTCCTTTTCTACAAAACAAATCTTCCTTTCCATTCATGTCCAGCATGATATTAACAGACATTCAGGATTTTACATTTAAATTCACTGCATTCAAGAATACTGTTTATTTTTAACTCTACCGTTTTAAAATAATTATACAAATGAAGCTGTTTGGCAACAAATTTCTCTCTATTGCATATGCTCCTTTGTGACTAGCCAGCAGCAGTACTGTAGCTTTTACATAAGCAAAATCAGAAGAGAAGAGCTGGATGGATTATGGCTTGCAGGCTATAAATAGAAACTGGAGCTCACAGACATGCCCAACAGCTACAGTAATAGGTATGTACTAAACGAGAAGCCCTGGCCATGTCCTGCACTTGGGTTGCTGAAATGGTTAGTACAGTATATGGGACTTTTGATTGTTCAGATGATGGAGCTATCCTGGAGTCTTTCACTGTTGGGAACACCCTGCTTACTGTTGGAACACACTGCACCTAACACAAACAAGCTGCTACATTGTTCTGGCATCTGGCCAGTGACACCCGCTTTCCAGGAACTTTTAACTGTGCTGTTTCATTTCATGCACTGTAAGAGAAAGTGGGGTGGTTTGGGAAGATCCCTGACCATGACCGCTACAATTTGGTGCACAAGTACCACAATGCTAGCGACCTTAAAACACATATGGTAGATAAATCTACAGGAAATACTTCAGCCCAAAGCCAAGTTTCTTATTGCACAATTAAAGATGTGACAAGATGTGACCGAGAGAGCAAATGTTAGTCTCAAGCCCTATGACTAATAAGCACTGATGCATTTAATACCTGGTCACTAAGGGCCAGATTTTTAAAGAGAGTTGAGCATCTAAGGGGATTTTTCAAAATCACCTAGGTGCTTAAAACTCATTGATTTCAATTAGTGCTAGGCCCTTGGATGCTTTGAATATCTCACTAGGCACCTAAATACCTGTAAAAATCTGTCCCTAAGAAGTAAGTGATTCAAAGGTGAAACATAGGATTCCACTGCTGGAATAACTGCTGGGCAAGATGCATAATGTTTAGTCATATTGAAATCTATGCAATGCTCAAAGAAAATTGAATCAGAGCTTGGAAGCGGAGTTTGCTGTCCCTACGAGCTCCTGCTTCCCTGGGACTGTTCCTCTGGGCTCCTGTTAACCCAAGCAGCAAGCTCACAACACTTTTACCGTGTGAGTGGTTAACTGACACAGCACAATGTCTGGAGGGCAGCCAGGAGCATGGCACCAAAGATGTCTGAAGTCTGGCACACCTCTGTCACTTGGCTGGCAGATGCTGAGCATGTCCCTGACGTATTGTGAGCATTTCATTTTTGGCTTTTGAGGGACTGGTCAGGTTGCAGGAGCCAGGCAGACACACAAAGCCAGAGTGTCACAGAGAAGAAGAAAAGGCAGTTTCACTGTAGCCTCTCAAGCAAAGATTGGTAAGAATAACCCCCAAAGTAACCATTTACCCTCGTCAAGCCTTTCAAAAACAGTGAGAGACACCAGCGGCACTTCAGTGCTTTGGGTCTCTGGAGTGGACCGGACTGAAGTCAAATGGATTCGATGAAGCTTTAAACGATTTACACGAGGTATGCCTTTTGGCCCATTAAGGCAGGGGATAATATACAGCATGCCAGCTATTATAGCAGGATAACATTTCAGTGCTAGCAAACCTCAGTACCATGGAAAGGGCTCCTGTCTATGAGCCAGATTTTCTGGAGTGCCAAATTCACTCTTCACAGCTTACCCAAAGCAGCCAGAGATTGCCACTGGAAAATAACCCACACATAGGGGGAATCTGTGGGTGTAAAGCTGGAAGAGGCTGCTCTGATGTTGCTGGCGTCATTACCTGGTTTTACCAGAACCTACACTCCCTGTATGGTGAGGAGGAAAGGCAGTGGGCACAGGGGAATGTAATGGGTGGAACAAGGCTTTTGCTACATCTGATTCTCCAGTGGCAGTGTAAGTTACATCTGCCTGCTACAGCTTGAGCTTGAGCCGGATGCACATAACAGAATCAGGAGGCCATGACTGGCTCCCCTCTCTACTCTGAGCTTGGCAGAGCTTACATGAAGAACCACTCCCTATGAGAAGTATCAAGAGCACCCCTGGGAGCCCACGTGCCTCTCATACAAACAGTGCAAGAGAAGTAGCTGTATACGTTTTAAAATGTACATAAACCACTATGAGCAAGCCATGAAGAGAACCAGTTCAGAATAAATAATTCCAAAAGCAATGCCCAAAAGCCAGGTGTACAACAAGTCACTGATTAAGTAGGAGGAGGAGCTTTCCTTCCCAATCTGTTAAATGATTAACAGCCCATTATTGTTCAACAGGTTGGCATCTATTTGAGATCACCTATACCATCAAAAACATGAGCATTGAGATGAGGAAATAAAATGTCATCTGGCTTCTGAAAACAGAATTTAAGATTGGCCTTAATATGATTAATTATTTCAGAGTCAGGTTTAGAGGCAAAGAGTTGAGAGGATTATAGCGAGGTAGACATTGTTTGGGTGAAGAAGGGCTAAAGAAGAAATATAGTTAAGTATTAAACTGGAGTCTGGTACTGCTCAGAGAGAAACAGAATATACAACCAGTTCGTAACACTTTAAATTAGGGTTCCCAACTATATGCCATTTAGCCTTGAAAAATACCAACTGATCGTTAAACTTTCACTGAGATGTATCAGTCATTTGTCTCATGTGAACGATGACACAACAGTCAGTATATACACACCTGGGGCAGCTGAGGCACGAGGCACGACAGAGTACTTCTGCACACCTAATGTGTCTGTATATTTATGTGGCTGGAAAACATATTGCAGTTAAAAATCAACTCTCCTTCAGAAAGATTAACGTCCCTGTGCTGCACTTGAGTGGATAGGATTACAAAAAACAATAACTGAATCTCATCACTGACACAGTCAGCATTAGTGCCCCTTATCTGAATGTATGAGGTATCTAAACCACAACTAGTGGGGTAGCTAAATGAGAGGAAAACACAAGCTGATTGTGCAGGACAAAACAGTGAGAAGTCACTAAGTGCTAGGTGTATATTTCCCCCAAATAAAAGTCCTCTGAAGATTTCTTTAGTATTTGTCTAAAATTAAAAATAAATCAAAAGTGATGACTTTGATGGAGAAAGGGAAGTAGAGGGGAGGAGGGAAATGAACACATTATTTGCTCATACTTTAATTTTCTGTTCCACGAATAAAAGGCTTGTAAAAGATTAATGAATTATTGGGTTAATGAATGATTGACAGATTTTTAATATGTGGTTAATCAAACGTTATAGATTATTACAGAGGCCAGAAGGTCAATAGGTGGCTTTTAACTAGAGCCCTTTTTTTTTTTTTTAAGAAAATCCACAACAGTTTAAATGGCAGAGTACTGAATTGCATGGAGTTTGAGTGGAATGAATTTTACAGTTAATGTTAGTGAATTTCAAAGATGGAATGAAGTTTACAACTAAATTGAGTCAATTTCAAGATTGGGAACTGATTCCATCCTTGAAATTGATTAACATTACTTGTAAAATTCATCCTGCCCTTTAAATTGACTACTATGTGTAAAATTTATTCCATCTGGAAATTGACTCAATTTAGTTGTAAAATTCATTCTGTCCCTGAAATTGACTACCATTCATGGTTTGGGGCCCGAGGGCATATTTACGATTTCCGTGGTCTCCATGAAATTGTGATTTAATGAGGCCCCTAGTTATAACCATCTATAACACCTTCTGCTTACAACAATCTATAATGCATAGTACTCATGTCTGTAATGTGTATAACATATATTAATATTTTATTAACCCTTTATAAACCATTAATAAATGGAATCATAATATCCAGTGTGATCCATTCTTTTTAAAAGAAGCTTTCAAAATGGTTTGTCAAAGTAGCATATCACTGTGGATGCTCCCAAGAGATGGCAAAGGGCACTGTGGAATAAATAAATGCTACAGTTCTAAGCAGAAATGCTGTGCAAACTGTTTTTAACAAATGAAATGAACAAGGAACATCAGCTGAACTTCCTGCTTTAGTATGAAAACTTTCCACTACACAACCAAGACTAGTGTCTTCTCCCTAGCCCCCACCTCTTCTGTCTCCACCCTAACAAGAAAAGAGAAACATCTCAGGATATTTTCCAACCACCAGCCACCTTTACTTATTCCCAGACTATAACATAGTGGATTTGATTTCCTCAGGGCCTTTCCAAAACTTCTCACGTGTCTGAGCTTTGAAGTTGCGCTTGTTGAACTCATTGGAGATTTCCAGGAAGGTTTTCCCCTTTGTCTCGGGAAGAAAAAACCCGACATATAGAGCAGTGCAGACACAAACCGTGAAGAACGGAAGGTAGCAGAAGTGAGCAAGACCTTCCTACAGGGGAGAAAAAAGGGAAAGTTTTGGAAATGTACCACAGTATGAGGCAAGTCCCCTCTACAAATCCTCTCCTAACTATAATAGCTTCAATCATGAAATATTTCTGCACTGACTTAAGGATCTTACATACACGAGTAAGCAGCTCCCTCTAAAAGGACTAACAACAAGATATTTGTCTCTGGCAATATGATCTTGCTTCGTTTGTGTTATAAACATTGGTCCTGACTAGCAACAGATTGTAGCTACTGAAGGGGAAAGTTTGGGAGATATGGCATTTTGTATCTTCTCCTAACCCTCAGTATAGCTCATGCTAAAGAATGATGTAAAAACAGACTCTCTTTTCAGGATTCACTGTTGGACATAATACAGGAGCACTTATTGTGAAGAGCCCACAGTCTCTCCAGTCCTACCGGAGTCACTTTAGGGGATAGGGTAGGGGTGCTGGCTAAGAGGCAGCTAATAACTTCTCCTCTCCCAACCTTTCCAAGTTGGGGACAGAATGGGAATGTTGGCTGTCAGGGACTCAAAACTATTCCAACCCCAGCCTTTTCCAGCAGAAATCACTATAGGGAAGCAGTAGGAATCTTGGCTTAGAGAGAGCTCACAGCTACTCCAGTCACAACTTCTAGCCAAAGTCACCATCGACAGAGCTGAAGTGCTGGCTGCCCGAGACTTGCAGATACTACAGACCCAGTCTCTTCCAGTAAAGGTTGCTGTAAGCTGTAGTGCAGGAGCACCTGTTTGTGAACTAAAAAACGGTAGATGGTTGTACCAGCTTCCAAACCTACCACAATGAATGGAAAGGCCATTCCAACTGCAAATAGATTGGACCAGAGCAGAGAGCCACAGATCATGTAAGCAGCTGGACGAGCCATTTGATCAAAAATCTCTGTCGGCAAAATTCCTGTCACACCAGCTAGAAAAAGAATTTGCAAACAAGTTTATAATATGTCTGAAACGTTAAAACTAGAAAACATATGCTGACAAATATGTAAATGGGATATAAAAAGGACAGGGACCAATTATTAATTGATTACATTGCCAATTATTCTCACTAGTCAACATGGCCAGAACACATAGTAACGGACATAACTGCACCAGGGAAGTTTGAGGATAAATATTAAGAACTGCCTAATGATATAAGCCATCTGGCAATGGAATGAGCTGCCAAGAAAGGATTTGTAATCAGAATCACTTCATATTTTGAAGGCTAGACTGGCATGGGCAGCTTAAAAATAATGTAATCAACCCTGAGACGTTGCAGGGACATGGGCTAGATGACTCATTGGAAGTTACTTCCAACCCAAATGATTTTATGACAGTTAGACTTGATTCTCCTCTTGCTTGCACCTGTTTTATATTGACATGAGCAGAGAATCATGTCCACATTATGTACCAGCACAGCACACACCACGTGCATGCACACACCCGTAAACGCTGCCTGGTTCTGAGAAAACCTGCAAGCTCATCAGTTAAAAAAACACATAAAAATACGTGTTTAAATTTATATTCAAAGAAATTACAAAATAATAGAGCTCCACAACCTTTAAAGCCATACAATGAAAGAGTGAAGCAATAGGAGCACTTAGTTACAGCCCTAATGGACTGGTTAGCAAATCCAGGAACTGCTGCCTATTGTCACAAATTAGACAAGAAGTTACTCCCTAGACAAGATTGTTTTTATGCTTCAAGTTTCCTTTCACACTTTGTCTCTTCAGGACTCCAAGAGAATGTAAACAGAAATGGCTCCCGAGAATGATAGGTTGTCACTACACACCCTGAGACATAACCACCGTTACCTACAAGCACTGCTGATGAAACTACAGGTAGCGAGTGTTCGAAATGTATTGTCCCTTTGTTTCATTCAAATGTGATGTGGCTAAGTACAATCTTCAGCCCCCGCAATCGCACAAGGGTTGGGGGAAAAACCTCAGACAACTGACCTGGTCCAATTCCAAAGCTCAGGATATAGGCGAAAATACAGGCCATGCTGAGGTAAGGCATCCAGCTAATCCGACTCTATTTCCACAGAGAACAAGGGAATATAGGTTAAGGCACTTATAATTACTTGCCCCTCCTTAATATCCCCATCCGTGTCAGAGGCATAACCAGAATCCATTTCACTTAGATAATTCAATAGATTTTTTTTTTTACCTGCTGGGATAAAGCAACCATGAAGACGATGGCCCATACTGCCATGAGGCTGTATCCCCCCAGAATCAGCAACCGCCGCCCAGCACGGTCTATTATTGCATTCTGAAACAAAGCAACACAGGACACTTACTAGCTATTCATGCCTCTCATCCACATTCCTCCCGCTCCCATTTCAGGTCTTCATGGTAGCTTGCGTGCAACCTACTTCCGGGGCAGTACCCGTTCTTTAGGAAAAAGAGAAAAGCTCATGCAATAATAAGGATTGTGTTGATGGGATTCAGTCAGGCTGGGCAATAAGGAGATGTCAAGGATCTGTCACAACTGCAGCCTCAACCCTTTCGCTGCAAATAGGCATGTTTGGAGCAAAGAGTTGACGCTCTCCAGAAGACAATTCCTCCACCTCTCAAGCTGTGTGCTGCCCCAGAGATCGCAGACAGAGGGAATAAAGTCAAACTTTCATAGATTCATAGATTCTAGGACTGGAAGGGACCTCGAGTGGTCATCGAGTCCAGTCCCCTGCCCTCATGGCAGGACCAAATACTGTCTAGACCAT